CGCGGCGGCGGCGGCGGCGGCGGCGGCGGCGGCGGCGGCGGCGGCCCACCACCTCCGCCCAAAGTGTTTCGAGCAAAGACGAGAAACGGAGTTACGTAACCGCCATCGAATAATGGTCCGCGCGCGATTACCTCGCGGTCCTCTTCTTCCCTACCCTCCCCTCCTTACCCCTCATCGCGATACTCGTACGTAAGTATACACGCGAGTCTGCCTCCTCTCATCCCCCGCGAGTTACGTCGATCTATCCCGTTAAGATTATTCTCTTCGATCGTGACGTTAATTTCGGAGAGCTCTCAAGTCCAGCTGGCCTTCCTCGAAAGCGAGATCACCGAGAGTTTCCGCTGGACTTTTTTTTACCCTTTTTCTCTTTCCCCCCCCTTTTTTTTCTTATCCTCATGGGGAATGAGAGATGGAAGCGAGGTTCCGCCGCGGGTTCGTCACGTCTTGGAAACCGCGAACGTATAACGCGAGCGACGCGCGACAGCGGCAGCGGCAGATTCTCTACGAGGAGTATTGGGTATACAAAGAGCCGCTGTCACCGAGGCGGGTAGCTAGGCGGCTGCTGCCACGCCGTCATCCGATTCCCGTCCCATTTCCCAAAGGCCCCCTCTACCCTCCGCGCCCGTCGGAGCGTTCACCCGTTTCTTTTCCGCTCTCCTCGTCGCGGCCACCGCCGCCGCCACCGCCACCACCACCGCCACCGCCACCGCCATCGCCACCGCCACCGCCACCGCCACCGCCACCGCGACGACGGAGACGGAGACGGTCGACGGTCGCGCGAGAGGGAGACGTCGACAGGTTCACGCGCGATGCGTGCGTCAGGTCGCGTGCCGTTCGCACCTCCGTCCCGCGCGCAGCGAGCCGCGTACTCCAACGAAACGGGACGAGCGTTCCGCGCAACGTGCCCTCTCCCCCTGTACGCGGTGCGTGCGGTCGGCCGTTTCTCTCGTCCCTCGGCTTGATCAAACGAGAGAGCGAGAGAGAGAGAGAGAGAGAGAGAGAGAGAGAGAGAGAGAGAGAGAGAAGAAGAA